AACTGAGCCGGCATCCAACTATGTTAATGTCTAGCTGATAGCTCCTGGGTTCGAATCTCGGGGAGGGGGATGAGGGATTATGGACGCGCAATTCTGAGGAGTCCCATACTAGGACGAAACGGCCGTCCGGTGCTTTCAGGTTTTCCATGGTGGTCTAGCTTCAATTGACTCATAATTTCAACTATTGAAGTATAGTTTTGTTTTTTTATGCTTATAATATTTATACTTGTTTAAATAAATAAATTCATTTGTTTTTATACTATAAAATAAAAATGTCAGTATTAAGGGTTATTAAATGTTTCGCACTTTCTGTTACCTAGATTTTACATTACTTGCTTACTTACTTATCTTCTAACTCTCAGGGCAGAATTTAAATGGTTTGAGTTACTTATTCGGGTGGCGAGATTCTAATTTATGGACGAGCCAATCAAAAGCGTTTTACAGATTTCAGGGTTACGGCGCCTAATTCAGTGCTTAATGCTAAGAGGGAATTTTGTATAAAACGTGATAATTGAGCGGCTATAACAAATAAAACGGCGAGACTATAATTTGTGAACGAATCAATCAGATATAGGATAACAGATCTCGGGTTTTAACGCGAAAACGTTTCATCCATTTGGTTAAATAGATTTCTGGCATTGTAGTTGATGTCAGTTCGTGATGAAAACCCCATATATAATTCTTAGCTAAGACAAATTATGACAATTATCGCGAAATGGATAATAAAACCACTAGTAACACTGACTGCAGCCGGGTACTACAATATATACGGATGTTTAGAGAGCGTACAGACTCCTACATAGGCTTGGTTATGTGCATCGTGTCGTTATCCATAAGTGGCATTTTGTGTACTCAACAACAGGAGTGTACACAAACAATAGTGAAGCTATGTGGTCAAGGCTGAAAGAGTTTTTGAGACTTTATCATGGCTCCGGAGGCTGACTATTCTGTAACCGTATGGATGATTTCCTCTACTGCATGAATTACGATTTTAGAACCTCTGAACTTCTTTCTAACCACGTATAAGAAGTGTATCCACTTTCTTTCTTTGGTTTTGTATAATATATTTTTTACTCTATACTTACAGTTTGCTAATTGGTTAATATTTATCAAGGTCACTTAAGATTCGTTCAAAGGTCGTCCATAAATTAGAGTCCCGCCATTCTGGTTAGCGTTTATTTTAAGCAAGTTAGTTTTCTATGGGATGTGGTCGCTAACCTCTATGACCGACCCTCCCCCTTTGTCGAGGTTTGGGACCGGCAGTAGTTTAAGAGGGGCTTCAGGCTGTGTTCTAGATTTTATATAACATAAAAATCAGTCTGATTTTGTTTTAATTTGATGTGTTTAAAGTATACAATCAATTACATAATTTTTTTAGTGATTCATTGAATGATAAACGAACTGATGAATCCGAATTCCCTGGTACTGCCAGGGGGGTGCTGAGAGTCAGCTTTCCATCTCGAAATGCTCTCACACGATCACGTGCATACAACCACTGCCAAAGAAGTCTTACTCACTACCTTCTCGCGGCATTACTGACTGATAGAATGTGATTAATTTAAATGAGTTAACAGTACTTATAATTGATTGATCACTATGCAGTTACCATTGTCATGGTTTTCGGGTCCTTCTTAGTGCAGATAGAATTCTATCAATCAAGTTTCAAGTGGTCACTAAACTGAATAACGTGACATTAGCGTCCACTATGTTAAGATATAAGGTAGCGGTTGCAGGTAGTCTACAGAAAAATCTGAACCTAAGTTTCGTACTATTTGGCACTCGTCTGTAAAATGTACCTATAATCTTTGAAGTAACTGATGCTACCTGACGGAATAGATCTCGTATCACAATCTGAAGTATTATCACTGAAATATCTAAGCTACAACTGTACTCCATGTAAGACTGACAATGTAAGGTATCACATTTTACTCTGTTTAGACAATTTATGACCTTTTTCTCCGTCTCACTTTTTTTCATGATTGATACATTTCATATTGTTTATTGTTTGGTATACTATTCAGGTCATTATGTAATTAGACCTTATACACCAGTATGCAATGATTTGACTTTTTCATCAATCATCAATACTAATTATCAACAGGAAAATAATGTAGATATAAATCAATTTGGTTTATTAATTAAAATTTATCCAAATGGTGAATTTTCTAAACTTTTGAATAATATTTCTACAAGTAAGTAATTACTTGTTATTTTTCTTATTGTCTATAATTAACTATTATCTTAATGACATATACTATTAGACATTATGTTTTCCGCATTTATGATATGTACTACTTATATGGACAGATATAAGTAGTATGTAACACTAGTTGGAAGTGAGAATGCCTAGTAAAAGAAGGTTGACAATATCAAATAGAAGAGGATGAGAATAGAAAGTAATTGGTATGGAAATAAAATAACAATATAGTTCAAGACAATTGATTGAAATTTCGAAAATAAAGTATTCAACGTATGGTATTTATATCTTAGCCCCCAAATGCCCTGGTACGGCCGAGAGTGGGGAGAGTCCGCTCTACCTCTCGAAATGCTCTCACATGGCCATGCGTATATAACCTCTGCCAGGGAAATCCTACTCACTGCCTTCTCGTGGCGGGGGTGTTGTTTACAAAAATGAGAGGACGAAAAGCGAATGTCTGGCGCTTTAACCGGATCCCAAACCAATGGTGCACATGGGCTGTCTCCAGTATCCTGCGGGAACAAATGGCGTATGAACCAACTTTTGGTCACCGGCTTCCATGGGACTGCATCTCCTCACGATGCTCCACTGCCTTGTGGGTCAGACGTTCAGGTCGAAGGCTCGTGGTGTGGCCCCCTAAGAAAACCACCTGCTTCGGTTTGGGCACCCGGGCAGTATCACAGCCCTCACACAAATCAATTGAGATTTGTGTGGCGCATATGTATTTGGTGCCTCCCTGTACCTATACTTATGTGTTAAAATAAATAAATAATAAATTTATATCTTATCAAGAGATTTTGCAAATATGGGCTGAAATACATCTAGTTGTCCCTATTTGTGATCTCGTTTAGTACATCACTACTGTTCTCCTTACTTAAGCTTGGAGAACCGGTTGTCCATACTATGAAGAAATATTGCTTCTTGAGGTACATGAAAAGAAAATTAAGTTAAAGATGATCTTGACGCTTGTGTTTAAGACCGATCACATCTAGATTTGTTATATATAGTTTGTCATATGTTAACTGTATTCTAATAAACTTGACCCCAAAAGACAAAAATCTATAAGGTAAGTTAAAATAAAATGCTTTTATGTTAGACGTTTTCTAATCCTTTCCTTCTTTTGTATTAAAGGCATTATCACTGTAGATGCTAGTTGTCTCAAAGAAACGAGGTTCCCACTTTGTCCGATGTTGATGTTTCCCGTAGTTGGAATGGTTTATTTTGTAAATGTTTGGCTTTTCGTTATTTTTTTTTATTAATTTATCCTTGGAGAAAAAGTTGTGCTCAATGACATGACTATGATAGAAATTAATGAACTTATCAAGCAAAACATTAATACGAGGATACTCAGTCACCTGATGAAAACAGTTATAAATTAACAACAAAAAACTACGTACATTGTTCTGTCAGATCGCATTTTTACACATATTTTACCTAAACATATCAGTCTAGTAGACATGCTTGTACTGTAACGTGATGTGTTTATTTATTTATGTATTTGAACACACAAATTTTGGTACAAGGGGGTACCAAACAGATATGCGCCACACAAATCTCATTTGATTTGTGTGAGGTCTGTGATACTCTCCGAGTGCCCAAACCGAAGAAGGTGGTTTTTTAAGGGGGCCATATCCGGAGCCTTCGACCTAAAAGTGTGATCCATAACGCAGGGGAGCATCGTAAGGAAATGCAGTCATATGATAACCGGCGACCAACAATTGGTTCATATGCCATTTTTTTCCTTAGGATTCTGAAGCCCCTGTGCACCATTGATTTGAAATCAGAGTTTTCCAACTCCCCTTCGTGGACCCTCCGTATCCACCAGCTTATTTATTTATTATGAATAAATTAGATATAATTCTATAATAGTGAAATTTTGAATAGTTTCCCTACTATTTAAACTGCCTCCGAATTCCTTCATACGGCTGAGAGTGCGGAGATTTAGCTCTTTCTCAGAATGCTCTCACATGGTCACATGCATATAACCATTACCAGAGAAGTGCTACTCACTGCCTTCTCGCAGTAAAGTATTGTTTATGAAATTGAGATGACGAAAACCGAATATCCGGAGGTTTGACAGGGTTGATGGATACAGATAACCCAACTAGGGGTGTTGGAAAACTCTGATTTCAAACCGATGTTGCAAATAGGCTCCAGTATTCTTAAGGAACAAATAACATATGAACGTACTTTTGGTCATCGGCTACCATAGGACAGCATCTCCTTATGTTGCTGCACTGCCTTGTGGGTCAAACCTTTAGGTCGAAGGTTCTACGTGTAGTCCCCTAAGAAAACCACCTGCTTCGGTTTGGGCACCCGGTCAGTATCACAGCTCATACATAAATCAAATGACTTATGTAGCTCATATATTATATTTGGCGCTCTTTTTTTTACCAATATTTATGTGTTTCAATAAATTTGAATTATTTTCTTATTTAATTAAATTGTTCTATTATTATTCAATTTTCAATAGATGATACTATTGAAATAAGTCTACCAATAGGTAATTTCAATAGTAATCTCATCAAACAAGTTATTCATAATAATAATAATAATAATAATGAATCAAAATTGACCTATGTTATTATGTTAGCCGGAGGTAGTGGTATAACACCTATGCTACGTATTATTCATTATTTATTAATTGATCATCATCAACAACCTTTACAACTATTTAAAATACATTTAATTCATTTTAATCGTTGTCAAATGGATCAAATATTAATTTCATATTTTACATCATTACATAATCATTTCCCAAATAAGTAAGTTCAAAAAGTTTTGTTTTTTTTTGTTTTTTGCTTAGCAACTATTTCTTTTTCTTTTTTTTTTATTTATTCAATACTCAAATTTATACAATCAGAACTTTGTTATTGATTAGTTGGATCAAATTAGTGTGAATTATCAGTGATTATTATTATTATTATTTAAAGGTTATCGTGTTAATTATTGATTTCCAATTGATGATATTGTGGAATAAAAGTTCTGAAAAAGAAACTAATAATCCTTGCTAATTAGACGCTACATTCGGTTTCTAAGCTTTTCTAGTAACCCTCAAGCTAGAACTAAACAGCGACCTGAACACGAGAGAAATGGTATGAAATATGTAAGAACACTTTACTCCAAAGGTTCGTGTTAGTACAGAAAATATAGGGTTTTTATAGTAATTTTTAGATGTCGTTGGGTTTCCCGAAAATTCTCGCATGCTACTAAACATAGTAACAGTATAGTAATCAGACAATCAGAAACTCTATATGTGACTTTTCACTTTCTTGATGTTTCTGGCTAAATTTCAAGTGAACGCTGATTGGATAAAATGCTTCTTAGTGTTTTCCTGAGCTTTTCTTGGCTTTTGCGTGAAGTTTTCTGGATCACCCCAATAGAAACTGGGTGAATAGTTGTAATCTTGAACATCTAAGAACATGATCTAAGACTTATTAGGCCAGGGAAAGGGAAAGTCAGCTTTCCTTCTCGAAATGCTTTCACATAGCTACGTGTATACAACCACTGTCAGGGAAGTTCTACTCACGTCCCTGATTCCAAGCCAATGGTGCACATGTGCTTCAGTATTCTGAAGGAACAAATGGCGTATGAACCTATTGTTGACCACCGGCTACCATGGGACTTCATCTCCCAACGTTGCTCCACTGCCTTGTGGATCAAACCTTGAGGTCAAAGGCTCTAGGTGTAACCCCCTAAGAAGGTCACCTTGCATCGGTTTGGTCACCCAGACAGTATCCTAGCCCTCACACAAATCGAGTGATGACTTTGTATTTTTTTTATTTATAGATTTTCAATTACTCACGTTCTATCTGAACCATTATGCTTTTCTGATGATAATAATAATAATAATAATCATTGGTTATATGGACATATAACCGATGAATTATGTCGTCAATGTTTTGATCAAGAAATGATTGACAATTTTGAATCACAGACAATTTGTTTAATATGTGGTCCATCTGGTTTTAATGATGCAGCATTCAAGTGAGTAATTTACTTTCAATGAATATAACATTCAATAGATATAATATGAACATTTAAAAAAATTTTTTATTCTTCTATATTGTTTTCATTAATGCTAGAGAACTATTCTATATTATTTATTTATTTGAACACACAAATATTGGTACGAAGAGGCAATAAATAGATATGCGCGACATAAATCATTCGATTTGTGTGACGGCTGGGATACTGTCCGGGTGTTCAAACCGAAGCAAGGGGACCTTTTTGGGGGGTTAAATTCAGAACCTTTGACCTAAAGGTTTGATCTACAAGGCTGTGGAGCAACGTCAGCAGATGCAATCCCATGGTAGCCAGTGATAAGCAATAGGTTAATATGCCATTTGTTCCTTCACGACACTGGAGCCCATGTGCACGGTTGGTTTGAAATCAGAGTTTTCGAACTCTCCGTTTCCACCAACCAGGCTAAAGCGCCGGACATTCGCTTTTCGTCGTCTCGATTTCTTAACCAACACCCTAACCGCGAGAGGGCAGTGAGTATAACTCTCGTGGCAGTGGTTGTATGCACGTGGCCACTTAAGAGCGTTTCGAGAGGAAGAGCTGTCTCTCCGCACTCTCGGCCGTACCAGAGAATTTTATGGCTATTTAACATTGTTCTTTTTTGTGGAAGCGTTTACAAATTTACAAGTATTGGTTTAAACAATTTAAGCGGAAGCACATTGTTATGAACTCTTTTATTACGACCCATCAACACTTATTGCCTAGTATTTTGTGATGAAAATCCTAAATCCTAACCTTAACGATCAACTGTAAATCATAGTTCGAGTTCCTCACAGTAATTTATAACCCTCATTTTGGTCCTCGTTATCAGGTAGACACTCTCAAGGTCAGTCTAGACCTATTATTATGGCTCAGTCCAATTGTCAATGACCTTGTCGGTTGGCAGCACGTCTTGTTCTGGCCGCCCTTTTCTTTCTTCTACTTTACTCCTACGTGAGATAACGTTCGTCAAGGTAGACGGTGGTTGGACATACACAATACATGTCCCAACCACTTCAGATGGTGAAAAATCACTATCTCATCAGCCAGTTCCCCAGTTATACTTAGTAATCTATCCCTAACTCCAAAAAGTGCGGGTGATGCTTTGATGGTATTCACGATTGACTTACAAATATCCACTATTCCTAATGGTCATACTTCAAATCCATAAAGTAGGACAAAAATTATGCATAGTAAATCCATCGTTTGATTGGTGGACAGTCATCTCATCTACGTCACTATACATATATCGGATATACATATGATCGAATTCAGACACCACTGAATAACAAAATACCGATAGAATATACTTTTGTTTTTTCATTATATAAAAAAGTCAAATTTCGCTGTATTATTCCTCTTTCAGTAGTTGAAATCATGAGCCAACTGAATCTAGATCACCATGGAAAACCTGGAAGCACTGGGCGGCCGTTTCGTCCCAGTACGGAACTCCTCAGCAGTGCACATCCACGATCCCACCCCCTGCGATATTCGAACCCAGTACTTATCAGTTTCGTGCGTGAGCGCTTAACTATTATACCACTGAACCGGCATCCAACGGTGTTAATGTCTAACTTCAAATAATCTATGAAATCGCGCCACCGTATATCATTGTCTTCAGTGAGCTGATATCTCACAACAGATCTCGTCCTGGGCTCGAATCTCGGGAGGGGCGGGATCGTGGATGCGCACTACTGAGGAGACCCATATTAGGATGAAACGACCGCCAAGTGCTTCCAGGTTTTCCATAGTGGTCTAGTTTCAATTGACTCATGATTCCCATTACTAAAATCTCCACTAAACCCCTTCTGATAATTATTCCTTTTTGTTTAAATTAATTTTAGACTAACAAATCAATGGTCTATTCCTAAAGAACGTGTCCATGTCTTCAAAGGATGAAAACAAAAGATGTTATATTATCATAGTAATAGTTCACATACACATACAAAATAATGTAGTTTATACAAATCCAATATCTTTTTAATGAATTCCTTTACTCTTGTCCCTTCTTTTTTTTTTAATTTTTCAAAACATTTTATGGTATATTCCTATTTCCTTTGCTCTCAGTGACAATATTTATATTATTTTGAATTGAGAAATTGTATCTCACATAGTAACTAATTTATATCACCATGGTGATGTAATCATATTTTGGGCTAATATATCACATGTATATATACATAAATCAATATGTAGACATTACTTAATCAAGTGGTTACCATGTGTTTATCTTCTTTTTTTTTGCTCATTCTTTAATAACATATTTTCTCATTTTAACAGGTATATTACAACTGGGATATAAATAATTTTGTAAAACCAATTTTTAACTATTCATTACTTAATAAATAATTCTAGTTGTATATAATGAACGAGATACATAAGCAAGAATCAATTGTTTCATCCTTTATATTGTTCTTTCATTTCTATATCAAATCATTTTGTGTTGTTGTTATTGTTGTTCTCTTCTTCTTGTCAATCTTTTCAACATTCCATTTTCGATTAGTGATATATACTACTTATATCTGTTAACATCAATAGTACATATATCACAATTGTAGTGGTTAATTCTTTTGTAGATTGAGATTATTTTCTTCAACTCAAACAAAACGGACAGAGTTTAAGAAAAAAAAACGTTCTGAATTTTACTCTTTTATATTTTCAATGATTTTATTATTGATGGATAGAATTTCTCTTTTATTTTTTTCTCTGTTCATCACACTTAATGATTTGTTTCTGTTTGTATTGTACTCAAATAAGATCAATTCTATTATTTGTTAAATTGTATACAAAAATAAAAGTATTTCCTACTAGGTGTATTGGTTTTTCCTATTGAATCTTTTGATCACACTAATGATGAATGCGTAGAATCTGATGATCAAAAAGCACAAGACTATCTGTAAATATAATGCTGTTATTGTAGTGACTAGGACACCAGATCGCTCCGACCGGCACCTCAGCATCAGGCCCGCAACGGCGTCCGAAGAACAATACCCTTCCCCTCTCCAAGTTGGCAGAAACACCAAATGTAGTGAACAGAACACCAGTAAGGAACAATCGAATGTATTTGATACAAAATTACTGGACTTGTTAATAAAATCTAACAATCATATAGTAAATGCTTAATTGGCAAAATGTCCATTAATTGTCTCAAAATAACTCAGACTTCATTGTTCTTGCATTTTCATACAAATTGTATTCTGTTTCCATTCTTTACCGTTCGATCCCCTTATCTCTCTGCTGCCAGACATTCTGTTCACGACTAACGTCATATATTACTTATGTCGATTTAAGTAACACACGCCACGTCATCAGTAAAATCTATGAAATGTATTACAAACATCAATTTGTAAGGCATCCATAGGAACTGTCGTGTTCGCGCAATTAAGGAGGGATACTTCCAAAAATGGATATATATAGTTTCTTACAACGACATATAATAAGCAATCGACAGTTCATAACCATGTCAAGAATAAAATTGTTATAATTTCTCTTATTACGATTCACCTATTTCTATTGCTTAATATTCTTGGACAATATTTCACTCGACAAATACCTAAATCAGAACACGATGAACACGAACGAAATTATATTCCAAATAACAAAGGTAGATGGAATTAGGAAGCATAATGACAAAAATGTTAGTATATTTATAGTTTTGACATTAGAAGATTCTTAAGTCTTCCGTAAGTACCCACTAGCGCTGATTGGATAAGATGTAGCCAATCTAAGTGCACCAACACAATCTTAAACGGAATGTGCTTTAATCAAATCTATATTCTGCTAACAACAATAGTAGACATTATTGAAATAAAAACCATTAACAAGAATGTAAACTGTTGAAGTACAATAGATGCTTAACGGATACAGTTTAAAAAATAAATATTCCAAATGGTAAGAAAATGCAGTTGCGTTAATGAATAGATTGAACGCAATCAGTTTATCTAAATGTTTGCACAATAGCGGACAGTTATAACACCTTAAACACTTAAGTTGTTAGAATTGAAATTGGCTACTAGATTTATATATAGGAGCAAAGGGGTGGGAATTGATTGTCAAGTATTAAAAATGCTTGAACGAAGAAACGATACCTTGGTTGTTTTCAAATTGTAGTCATTATTAACGGTTCACAAATACCTGATACGGCCAACAGTGAAGAGAACCATCTTTCCCTCTCGAAGTACTGTCATACAGCCATGCGTTTATAGCCCTTGATAAGGAAGTCCTACTCATGCAGCTGGTGTGATGTTTGAAAAATTGAGAAGACAAAAAGCGAACGTCCGGTATTCACTCTGGGCTGACGAATACGAAGGGCCCATGGTATACATGAGCTCCAGAATCCTGGGAGAATTTCGCTTAAATGCCCTAAAGATTAAACCTCCAGATCAAAGGCTCGGAAAGTGGCTCTCTAAAGAAGTAAACTATTTCGGTTTGAACACCTAGGAAGTATCCCAGCCCACAAGAGTTTTATTTTATGTTACACATACTATTTTTGGTGTCCAGCCGTGCCAGATTTTACGCGTTTTATGTAGAAAAAAATAATCAACAAGTAAAAAGTTATATCGTTTAGTTCACAGATTAAAATTATGTTCTCTTCAGATAATGTCTTTTCTTTCTCTCTATTTATCACATCACTAACCTGTATTTAAATGTACTCGCTAATAAGTTGTATCTATGAGTTGTAAATTAACTTGGAAACTTTGTTCAATATTTATTATGACTGATAATCATAATCATCATAAATCAATATCTGGGGACCAATAGAAATGTTGACAGAAATGTTAATTATCAAATTGCACCTTAATGATTGATATAATTAAGAAGCACTCCTATAACGAGATATCTAGAATAGCCAAGAAAAAATCTATTCCCTATCCTACTGAAAGTGTGGTAATACAATTGACGTTTAATCTTGTCATCTAATCCAGTATGAAATGGAAAAAAAGTAGTCAAATAATCTAAAATTTATTCTAATTGTTTTAGTGAGGGTGAGGGGGGGGGATAAGTACAAAAATGATTATGATTATTATTATTATACAAATGATCATGTACCAGTTTTATTCACAGCATTAGTAGGAGTAGAAGTATGTGTCACGTTATTATGTGTTGCTAGTTGATCAGCTTTTAATAGGAAATCTTTTGCTTTTAATTCATCTATTTCAACACCATCACCATTGGAGTACATTTTTGCAATATTACGACAACAGAATTCATGGCCCAATTTACAACCTTCCATCCATGCTTTGAATGCTTCAACACGTAGACGACTACTATCATTATTACCATTAGGATTAGAAGATTTTTCTGAATTATTTGATTTGTCATTTTCTTTAGCTAATACCATTGCTGCACCACCAAGATGAAAACAACTCTCTGGTACTTTATTTTGACAACCTAATTCGAATAATGGCATTGCAACAGATAAATTTGGTGCATGGCTAGCTATACCATCAGCAACTAGACGTCCAGCAGCCTGTGTCATAAAAAGAGCATAGAAGGCAGAAATTTGTTTTACAGGAAGTGAATTTATCAAAACTATGGGAACTATTAAAGACTGATGGAGTAAAAGTTTTATAAAATTTTTCTTTAGAAAAATACTGGAGAAGATTTGCAGCTTAGATAGATGCTTTTGGCAATATTGTAGTAGCTAGTACTATGTCAATCCCACATTGGTTATTTTAACTTATGGACATATCAATTTACTCATTCTTTTCAAGCTAGATTTTAACCTTATCACCTATTCCCTTATTAACCCTAAGTATTTTCATAGGATCGTATGTGTATTAATTGCTCATCCTATTCATTACGTGTCTGTAACTTATTTTTGGTCTGACTATAAATATTGGGTCCCACTTGGTTAAATCAAGTTAGCTCACTCGCCTTCTTGATTGCGCGTCATTTCGTTTTGCTTCGTTTGCCTGATTGTTTGTTCAGATCAAAGTGTTTACGAAACAAACGTATTCAAAACACAGTCTCGTATATGATTTATTTAAGTCCGTTATTCACTAACGCAAATTAAGTCGATAAAAATATACGAGGGTAGCTGAGATTTACTTCTTGATAACAATCAACATACAATCTAATTGGAGTCAGATTTAGAGCCATTAAAATATTATGTACTCCAAGGCAGATGGTTTAACTGGGATTTCATCGTCATTCTGGACATCTTCAGCACTGACCTAACGTGGAAGGGAGCCTTTCAGTTGTTCGATCCCTCATCAGTTGAATAACTGAAAAGCTAACTTTAAAATGAACTAGACACTGAATATGTCCACAATCATAATGAAGGCACAGAAATCAGAACATTCCATCATTTGTTTTCGTCTGAAAACTTCAACCTGAATCGACTGGAAGCAATCGATTTTCAGGTTGCCACTCAGAGATTTCTAAACTATGCACAACATGTTTAATTCTGATAACTACAGTAACAAATAAACTTGTAGTGCTGATATGACTACTTAAATCACGTCTGGTGGCTAATGTAAAGAATGAAAACATGAATTTTGAGTCGTTATATCTGTGAATAAATTGTGAAGTCAGATCAGGCACAAAGTTTGCAGCCAATAAACAAATTATTTGCATTTTCCTGTCCGGTTGATTATAGTATACTAATGTATTTATTCACTGCCCCCACTTACCCTGATACAGCCGCGTGGGAGAGTTTACTCTCTCTCTCTCTCTCGAAATGCTCTTACATGGCCACATGCATACAACCACTGCCGGGGAAGTCTTAATGCCTTAGTGCGACGGGGACGTTGTTTACGAAATTAAGGACGAAAAGCGAATGTCCAGCGCTTTGACCGGGTTGGTGGATACAGAAGACTCACCTAGGGGAGTTGTAAAACCCTGATTCCAAAACAATGGTGAACGTGGGCTCCAGGATCCTGACGAAACAAGTCGTG